GGTGTTTTGATTGGTGTTCCCAAATCAATAATTTCGATTTGTCTTGTTGTTGTTTGTCGCTGTCGTCTTGTCGATGGCCCTCTTGGTGTCAATGATTCTTTGAGTAGTGGTAATTCAGTAGTTGTAACTGCCAGACGACTTGTTGTTGTTGTTGTTGTTGTTGTTGTTATTGGTTCTTCAGTACGCTGTTCTTGTGCTGTTGGTGTAGAATATTGAGTAGTTTCCATTAAATGATCGCTATCGTTTCTATTCTGATCATCGTCCTCAATATTATCTTCATCCGAACTGAAGAGATTCGACATATGTATGTCGAAATTAGGCAGAACTATGTTTTGATCCATGAATAAAAAGCAATTGTTAAAATGAATAGCTCTTTTATTGACAAAATGATTTGAAATACACGTAATATCTAGAACATATATACTACGTTGAAATCAAATAGTCAAATACAACTTTAAAACTTATTAACATAATTTGTTTCACTACTATGAATAACTAAATTTGTGTTACAAAAAAAAAAGAAAAGGACACTATAGAACATACGCATATAAGAAAAGAAAAGATCAATGTAAAAGAAATACATGCTACTTGCCTTTGATATCGACGAATATAAAATGAAGAAATGTTTATAAGACACGACTATTTATAGGAGTGTGAAAAAAAAGAGAGAAATAAAATGACCAATGTTCTATGTCTGTTTCTCTCTCTTATTCTTGAATATAATGATTGGATGAACAAATAAAGAGAAGAAATCTCTCGATCACAAAAAGGAAAAAAAAAGATAGATTATAAACGATAGTCAAACAAAGATACAAAAACGATTAAAACAAGAATTCAGTACGTTTACAAAACTTTATTAAATATCTATAATGATCTAGAGATGAGTAATTGGAGTTCGACATCGTTCGAGTTGATTCATTCGTACATGCGACGTTTCTTTTTCACGCTGTTGAATTTCATGGTCATTCGACCTTATTTCTTCATATTGTGCAGATTCACTTTGAGTTTGTTCAGTTCTCTTCCGAGACATACGATGTTGTAATAAATAGATAATTTCCAAACTTAGCAAGGTTAAAAGTAATATTCCAACAAGAATAACAATAAGAACTGGATGAAAGAAGAAGGCACATTTCTTTTCAGTTACCACAGGTGTTGATATAGTTGTTAGGGTGCTAGTTTCAATTTTCTCCTTGAAATCATTATAATATATTAAATCGATATATTCCTTCAAAATACTACACTCGTAGAGTGACGGACACCAAAAATATTCCGGTTCTGTCGCATTCATCGGAAGAAGAAAACATTGCTTAAATGAAGTGTCTACCATTCTCATGGAACTTATTGGCAACTTTAAGTGATAGTACAATTTTAATCTGAAATTTAAGAGAAGTTAATATCAACCACAAATTTATTACGGTATTATTCTTGAAAAACAGAAAAATCTACGAACAACCAGAAATCTATGTTCTAATATAAATAAGATAAGCAAACACTAATGGAAAATGAAATGAAACCGATATAAGTGACATTTGCGTATGCATATATAACTGAACAAGAATAATATTAGAAACTAAAGAAATACAATCAAGCCTATCGGAAGAATGAAAGTAATATATCTTATGTAATACATTATAAACAAAAAAACGAATTCATGACATATTGAAAGAGCTTTGTGAGATGAAACGAAATAAATTATAAAAGTTAGAAAATTCAGAAGAAAAAAAAAAAAGAACTGCAGTTTTCCAATCATTGAAATTTAGTTGAATATAATCCAATCGCGTGTGCTCTCAAGGTATCGATGCACTCTTTTGCTGAAGGCCAGCGACCTAGAAATAAAATGAAATGAAATCGATATAAGTGAGATTCATGTAAATTTTTATCGAATGTTCTTATTGATAGAATGTTGAGCTACCTTTCCTGTATTGTCAATTCCATCAAATACACCATATCTCATAAGATGCTGTTGAATAGGTGAATAGGTTCGTTTTTGCCGTAACACATTCTTATGTAATTGACGATAGAGACCATAGGCAATAAACAGGACCCAAAAGATGAGAACTGTAAATCCTACAAGTAGAATACAAGTCTCCAAATTATTCTTTTGTACTATGACGATGCTTTGAGTATTGGAGGAATCTAATTGGTTTTGAATAGTTTGATTAAAATATTCGATCAGTGACTCTAATGTGTTAAGAATGGGTGGCAATGAAACTCCAAGTTCTTCATTATCCGTTGTATTCATATGTGTTCTGACCATCATCAGGCTTTTATTCTCAGGGAGAACAGTGAAACAGAACAATGAGACAGTGATGTAATCTAGAACGAGACGGAAAATAAAAACAACAACTAGAAGATATAGGCACAGAATCGAGAACTTTTATTGTTAATCTAAATCAAACTACAACTATTGGGAAATAAGAACGAAAAAACAACACTAAAATCTAATGTAACAAGCGGAGAAAGATGTTGATTAAATATGAAGGCATCAATTCATGTAATTCCATAAATAACAACTAATGTTTCGAATCGAAAAGAACAAAATGCATCAGTCATGAATAGGTTTTTCTTAAACGTAAGTCCCCTAAATAGAAGAATTCATTTAAATTGTAGTTTAAATAGAGTTCATTTATTACTTGAAATCGATCGTGTTGTTGAACAGATTCATTTTGTGGTGTTTGATTTTCGATATTATCAGGATTTGTATAGGAAGTTTTCTTGGCCTTGGTACACATGGATGAACAAATTGTAACAATTGCAAACAATGTTATTAGAGTAATATATATTGACAGAATCATCATAATAAAACTATGGGTATTGATCATAAATGTTGATCTCATTGAGGTTCCAATACAAGCCGTATCATTAGAAATATTTTCTGCCAATATATAATTCATATTAGAACAATTATTTTTTGCATCCAAGAAGAACAATAAGCTGCTATTGCTACATTTTGGTGATAGAGAAAATGTACATTTAAACATATTGTAAAACATTTCCATTATTGTCTTGTGTTGCTTTCTGAAGATCGTCGAGTAAAATTAATCCAGTAATCTGAAACATAAATCATATATATATAAAATATTCAACTATTTTTATGATTTCTTCTCTTTCTCTTTCTCTCTCTCTCTCTCTCTCTTCACCTACCACTGATATTAAAACATCTGAAGGCCTTTCCATGGAAAAATGCAAAGGTAATCATTCAGTAAACAAATAAGTCTTTAAGAAAGATATTGTTTTAAATTTCATACCAATTAAAAAAAAAAAACAAAACGATTCTAATCAAAGATTTATTCCTATTTAATTAAATTGTAAATAAATTACAATCAAAAGAAAAGACATCTAATGCACTAAAAGCTACTACAAAAAAAATTCATAAATTTACGAAGAGCTAACAAACGAAGATAAAAACATAAACAGAAATACAATGAATAATTCTACGTTTCAGTAATGGATATCTAAGAAAAAATTCAGATTAAAAGTAATAATAATTCAAAGTAATATATGTGTCAGAATTATTTTTCCGTTTTTATAAATGTTGTTGTATCATTGGATGGAAAAAAGCGAGCTACTGATGGATTTAATAAATTTTCACACCAAATTCTACCTTGACTATAAGGTAAACCATATAAAAGATCAGTTGCACTAGTAAATAAATTGTAACAATTTAGTTTCGTTTCTGCATGAGTAACAAATAAAATCTCAATCAAATGTCGGAACATTATAGAACATGGAAATGGCAGAACAGCAACAATAGTAGCCCGATAAAGATCGAGTGTTGAATAGAACTGATAATGTCGTGGATGAAAATTTGTAAAAAATTGACGTTGTTCAGCTAGTTGACGTTGTGAAAAAGTATAGCCTGCTGGTGGTTTTGGAACATTAGTAGGATAAACATTTTGAATATTTATCGAATCTTCTGTTATATTATCATCGGCCATATTTTTGTAAGATAAATCGTCGAATTGTGCATCAGCAACTTTCATCGGTACGAATGGCCAGTATTCAGGATTATATTGCAGAAATAATTGTAAAGCTTTTGTACAATGTGTAAAATGTTGATAGAGACGTTGTTTATTGGCACGTTGCTTATTGAGTTCATTTTGAGTACAAATACATGGAACTAAAAATGGTTCACCATTTAATAAATATTCAATGATAAGTCGGTTGGAATGGTGTCGATGGTATTCGATGACTTCATTTAATGTATATTGTGTGGAGCCAATATAATCGTATTCACCACAGACACATGTTAAAACATAAATTATATTATTCGTTTGACAATTTGCTGGACAATTTAATATGGCTTCATAACCATTAACAAAACGATGCTTTTGTCCTGATGTTGAAAATTTAATTGTAGTACAACTAGTAGAATCTGAATCATCCTCTGCCTGACATAAAGTACAAAACAATTGTTGACATGGTTTCATATCATGGCCTAACGTATTAGTTATTTCCTCCGTACAGAATAAGCCAGATTTGATGAATAATCCGTCAGTTATCCGAAATGTGCATGTCTTCATGAAGAAAGTATCCACATCTATTTGTAAGAAGAATTCTAAGAACATTATTAATTCATTTGTATGTAATCGCCGTAAAAATTTGTCATGTCCAGGCACTTGAAAATGATGATCAAATAGAAAATCTGAACCTTCATACGTACGATATTTATTAATAAAAAGTTCAATGATATGATGAAGTCGATATAAATTATAATCAAGAATAGATGTATCGACATTGAAACGTGTTTTTAAAGGATTAAGTAAATTTCCATATAGAAGATAGACATAAGACGAATTTTGTGTGTCATATTTTGAATTCCACGGATCTGGATGAATACCAGGAGATCGTCGGAGCAATTCAATAACAGATAACTTTTCTGCCGGTACACTAGCTAAAAGTAATGGTACATTTTGTGTATGTTGATTGGATAGCTTTGGAAACATCGGTAAAAATTGTCGACGCCATTCATTATGTTTATTGAGTGTTTTCGGTTGATATTCAAGCAAATTTTCTTGTTCCAAAGTAAGTGTTCGTCTAGTTAATTTAAAGGGACAATGCCATTTTGATTTCTTGAATGACATGATTTAATTATTGTTGAGTTTCTGACAATCTGAAAACAAATATCGTCGATGAATAAAGTAATATAATTAACAAGATGATAATTATGATTAATCTAAATAGAAGAAATGCAATTAAGAGATCCATCCTAGTTGAATTTTCTTTGGAGTAAAAATGCTTTCTCTAAAATACAACACAAAAAAAAAAAAAACAATAATAATAAAATTATACATGCGAAATGTAAGAGAAATTTTAATCTATGCTTTGTATAGAAATCAATTTTCATTCTGAACACTAAATACTACTAATAATAAGAACATAAAAAACAAACTACTTAAGTACTCTACAAAGAAATTTTTCAGTTTGCCTTCGTTTTATTTTTCTCGTTGTCTAACTGAACTACGAAGTCATCGGCGTTGAACATCCTATATTTTCACACCATACTCGATGATAAGGTAAGCCATATAATTCGTATGTATCTTTTGTACGTAAATTAAACATATTTAATTTTGTTTCGGCATGTGTTGCAAAGAGACATTCTAGTACTTGACGTAATAATGTTGAACAATTTTCTGGTAGAACGGCTATAATCGAAACATTATAAAAATCAACTGATGTAAACAGTTTTTCATCGTCACTTTTTATTAAATATGATTTTTCAAAGAATTTTCTTTGTTTTTCTTGTTGACAATTTGAAAAAATATAATTCTTAGGTGGTATTGGAACATATTGCATAAATAAATCGCTAAAATCACTTACAGGCGATAGTTCCATAATTTGATTTCTATCATCCATCATGGCTTGCTCAAAAGTCATTGGAATAAAACAATCATATGCAGTATTCACATTTAAAAATAATTGAATGGCTTTCGAACAATGTGCTGCATGTTGATATAAACGAATGAATTCTTTTTGTGAACATAAAGAAGAATTTATTGATATTAATGTTTCATGCATATATTGACTACCATTTTCTCGAATAGATTCAATCACTTCAGAGATATTGGAAGATGTTGATCCAATAAAATCATATTCACCACATGGGCACGTTAAAGCATAGATAATATTTTTCGTTTGACATGTAACTGGACAATTAAGAATGGCATGATAACCATTAACAAAGCGATGTGTTCGACCGGAATCAAATTGTATAATAGCTGTTGATGATTCACATAATGTGCAGGAAATCTTATGACAAGCTTGAAAACTGTACCGCACAATAGGTAATTGTGATTTACAAAATAGACCTTCATCTAAAGATCGAGGTCGTGCATCACGAAATACACACGTTTTCATATAGAATAGATCAACATCGATTTGTAAGAAAAACTCTAAACCTATTTTTAATTCAACTTCATCAAGTTTAAGTAGATTATTTGGAAAGTTCATATCCTGTTGTGCAAATACTGGAACATTATTATTGTTCAATCGAGTAAATCGTCGAGAAAATATTCTTTGTAAAAGTTGAAACCTTTCTATAATACGTTGCCAACGTCTAAGATTAAAATCAATTATAGCTGGATTAATTTTTAATCGTTCAATTAAATCATTAAAGTTTCGTTTAAAACAATCATACATATATGAATTCATTTGATCACTTAGAATTATTGCAATGAATGGACCATCATAACAAGTAGCATATCGACGATTTAAATCATTTGAACCTAATATACTTGATGACACATTAGCTAATAACAAAGGAATATCATTTGACTTGTCTGACTTCAAATAAGGAAAGGTAGGCAAATAGGCCCATCGATCTTTATTGTACTCCTTCAAAGTAAGTGGCACATAATTTTCAACAGGAAACTGTTGTTGATATTGGAATTGCTGTTGAGAGAGCATTGCATGGGTAGCACTTTCTGCTTGTTGTTGTCCTTGTGTAAGTATAAGTAGAAGCTCATCTTCAGATTCCGGAACCATTTGCTGTACCACTTCTTGTCCTTGTAAATGTTGTTGTTGTTGAAACGATGTTGATCCAGTTGTTACCAATGATAATGGTGATCTAATTTCTTGTTGTAATTGTTGCATAATACGTAGTATTTGCCGTTGTTGTTCCTCTTGCTCATCTTCTCCAGACAGATGTCTTTTTTGATGGGAGCAATTTTCAGGAGTGCGCATGATAATATTTTTTATAAAACGTTTTGTAAATGATAATCTAAAATAAAAAGTAAAAACTATAGATATTTACTTTTATTTTATTGATAATTTGCATAAATCAAACAAATAGAAAAAGAAATTGTTTGGTACTTTTATATATTAATTTAACATTGTGTAATAATAATTAATAACATCAGCGAAAATTAGCCGTTGTTGATCCTATAAATTCATGTTTACAAAATATAAACAAATGAGTACATCTACTAGAAGAAATGGTATGGAATCTAGTTGTCGTTTAGAGTTTCTCAAAAGCAAACATGACACTTTCTCTTAGATACCTTTTTGATTTGATGTTCATTTCAAATTGAAGAAATAAAACGAAGTTTGATATGTGCTACTCAATTCTGATAATCGATCATTAGTATAACACATCGTCATTAAAAGAATGTTCTCAATGGAAGATGAATAATATATGTTATATCAATAAACAACTATCATTACAAGTACATAATTATAATAAGAAAAAAAAACAAGAAAAAAAAAACAACAATACCAACAACAGGAAAATACTAAAATATGTACATTTTAACAGTTATATTTTCATTCTTTTACAAGGATTGAATGTTGATTTAAGTTTTGCCACACCATCAACCGAGTCCAACAATGGGAATATTTGGTGAGTAATAAGCCGTTTTAATTTTTCTTTATTATCTTCCTAGAAAACATCATCAAAAAAAGAAATTTGTGATCAAAAGAAAACAATCAAAATAATTTTTTACCGCCCCAACTATAGTTTTCATTATTGGTGTATCCATTTCAATTTCATCATCTCTTCTTTCATCATTAACGCTTTGAAGAATTTCGCTGAGTGCCATTAATTTACGATAAGGTGATTTCATTGTCATTGTGATAAGTCAACTGTAAGTAATGTAATATGTTTTATAATCTAGAAGAGTAAATGAAAATTTAATTGATTGATATACATATTCATACAGTTTATTAATGAGAGAAAGAGAAAGAAAAAAAAAGAGGAAGAAAAAAAAAGAGAGAAGAAGAAAACGGATAAATATTTATTTTTATTTATACAAATTGTTTTTCTCACTTAATGGATATTGTTTCATGATTAAATTTATTAGTTTACTCATTGCAAAACAGTTGGAAACGGCATACTTTTTCATTTCTTCACGATATTGAATTTGTTCTTGAATAAATTCATGATAATTTTTATTATTATTTGACGACCATTGATAATTGTATGTTTTCAAGTTGGTATCAATACCACAATTCCATGGACCATATTGTATTTTGGTATTGAGCCATTCGTCAAAAACGAGAGCAAGTGCTTTTTGTAGAGAATATGGTCTCTTATTTAATCCCATGAGATTGAGTATACAATTTGGAAATGCTACTTTATACCAATCGGAAAAATGTTCATGTATATTAATTAAATTAGGTTGTTTTAAGTCAGTTTCATTAAATAATTTATAATGATAAAATGGTGCTAATTTATCTACTGGATTACCCCAAGCAAGTACGTTTTTATTTAGTGCAAATATTTCTTTAAATATTTTTTTTATTTTTTCTTCTTTTTTTGAATCGTATGTACGTGTTGAAAAATACGATTTTAAGTATAAAACTTCAACAAGAAGTATTAATGGGGGATGTTTCGATGAACTACATAAAATTTGTATTATTGATGGTAAAGATTTACTTTGTTCGTGTTGTGTATCAATGATAAAGCTATATGAATCAGAAGCTACTTGAATGGCATGATTTAAAATTTCTGTAGATGTTTGCTTATGTAAAAATATTAAATTATAATTCTTCGGTGGTTCAAATGCTGGAAAATATGAATAAATTTCATTTAATCCATCGGAACGAGCTTTGAATTGAGAAAAGAAGTTTGATGAACTCATCTAAACCGAGATAAAAAGAAAAGAAAAAAAAATCGTAAGATATGAAAAGAAGAGAGAATTAATTAGCGATGACGATAAATAAAATGTATTTATTCAAGTAAGAAACAATCTAAGTAATTAAATAAATGAGACAACAAAGCAAAACAGATAAATAAACGCAGAATTCTGCCTATGATATAGTCTTTTTTTATACATGGGACCAGCGACATTTTGGATTTAAATAATGATTTATGGAAGGAATAGTTGAGTAGTAAACAGGCAGCTCCTTTTGATGCGGATGTAAAATCTATAAAGTACAAATAGTTTGAATGCAAACTAAACTAACACAAATTTATTTTCTTTTTATCTTTTTACCTGTTCTCTTTCGAACGGTGGCACGAAGCGTTGCATGTTTTGCATTGACATCGAAAGTTTCTTTTTGACAAATGAATTTGTCGTAGAACTTACTGAGTGATCCCTCTTCTTAGGTCGTTTTTCAACAAAGAAGCAATTTTTTGATCTCCATCGATAAACATAATATAGAATAACCAATAATACAAATAGTATTAAAAATGTCATAATGAGTATGAAGATAGTACACATATGTTCACTATCTAATTTTTTGCCAAATTTATCTACATATTCAGTTTCCGTAGCATTCTCAGTGAGAATTCTTCTGAACTGTTTCAAAAGCCTTTGATTGATATTTCTTGTAGGACTTTCAGGCATCTTCAATGTACTCGTTGTTAGTGGCTGCCATTCTGTGTCGAATGAGGGTGTCGGTGTCGTAGTCATAAATGTTGTTAGAGTATTATAATAGGATAAAGGTTTCGTGTAATAAGACTGATCCTTCCACCATTGTTCTCGGACCGAATCGTACTTTTCTCGAATTGGTAACATTCTTGTAAGAAAAAAAAAAAAACAACAACAAATCTAATTTATCTGGATGGATGTATTAATTTTTGATTATAAGTATGCTAATGTATTCTAATTACTTTTCAAAAAATTAGCGTGATCTTATAAACTTATTTGTAAGTAAACGTACCTGTATATATTTATACGTGTAAAAGAGAGTGTATAAAGAATATGTTTAACGTCGAGTAAGTAATAGTAACAATGAAAATTTTGAAGAGTGAGTGAGTGAAAATACACAGGTATTTATAGCTCTATTCGGGAGAGTGATTGAGAGAATTTACTGTTTCTCTCTTATAGTAAATCAAATCATCAAAGAAAAGAAATGTTGATATTGATTGGTCACTTGTTTCTCGTTCAATATATGTCTATTAAAGAGAGAGAGAGAGAGAGAGAGAGAGCGAGAGGAAGAGAGAACGAGACAAAAAGTCATTAATTTCATTGGTGGTTACTAGGCATGAGATTATTTTTCATGAGAGAGAAAAAAAAAAAGACCAGAAATTAAGTTCAAGAGTTTGGAAGAGAACCTAGAAATTAAACAAATAGGTTTATCATGTGTTTCTATAGATCCAATGGAGATCTCTGGAGAAGAACAAGTATTCTCAAGTAATCAAATTAGTTCTTCATTTATGATACTAATCAGAATATGATGTTCAGTCTTATATCATTAATTATTTACAAATTTTTTCAGCAAATTGACCTAATTAAACAAAGAGTATCTAGTTTTGATAAAAATTAATTAATCTCAAATAATGAAATTAGTTCTTCATTTATGATACTAATTGGAATTTGATGTTCAGTC